TGTTATGATGTGATTATTGTATGATACGCTTTGAAATTGTTTTGTTGTTTTTAATTTTTTGTTTATTTGTTTTTTTTTACAAACATTGCCCCACACTAGGATTTTCTCCTATATCGTGGGTGGGTTTACAAACATACAAGTTCACATACACATGATAGCCAGACTCGAAACAACAATTAGTGGATCACACAAAGAGTTGCTCCGTACGGGAATCGAACCCACTATACGTTGCATGGCTTATGGTTGCTCAGCCACCGGGCTAACAGTGTAGTCAAATTTCGATTAACTTACATCTTACTACAGTTACGAAATAATTAATGAAAATAGAGTGATTTTAATAATTTACACTTCTGTATACCGAATAAGATAATGTTATTTATATCTAAATTTTTACCCAAATGAAGGAAGGGTAACCCAAATGAAACTATGTAAGTAGAGTATTGTCTTGTAAACCCGATTGAAAAAGAGTAACCTATGGAGTTTCTTGCTCGTTCTTCTCCATAGGAATCTAAGCTTCACTTCTAAATTTTTTTGTGATTGACGTTTTAAAGTGCCTTCCTGATCTAATTGAAGTAAATGATTTAGACTTTGACTTTGACTTTGGCACTGTGGTTTATTGGAACCGAAAACCGAAAAATAGTTTTCTACTCAAAATATATTTTGACAAAAACCAATAAACTATTAACTGGTTAAAAAATCGAATGCACATTGTTTCGATTGCAACTTCGCCGTAGACATAAAAAGTTGTTCGCATGCAATCCTAACATTATATTTTCCAATGTTCTCAGAATGCACTGTGGGGCCATTTTTATATTTAGTTTTTATACTTTTAATATTCATGTTGTAATTTGTTCACAATTCTCTCGGAAATCGTTACAACTAGGTAATTGCTTTATTAGTTTTCGAAGTTAGTTTTGTAATTTAATCTAGGTATAATAATTCCTAGGAGTAATGAATACATTTATCTTAAATGTTTTATTATTTATGTCTAGTTTAACGAACCAAGAATATCCCAGAATATTTATCCCAAATAAAGCCATAACGCTTTCAGTGTATTAAATAGGTACCTGAACCAATTTATTCACTAAATTATTTGGAAAAAATATATTTATAAACTAAAAGTAACGATCCAGACTTTCTTTCATGATCCGGGCCATTGAAGCCTGTCTGTAGACCCCTATCAAAAGACTCACTGATCCCGAAATAGCTCAGCATAAGTTCCACGTCGTTGGATCAGAACTGAACAGAGCAATAAGGCAATAACCGCAAAGGTTATATGCAATAACGAGCATCGGATTCACCCCCGAACATTGCCGAAGCAACCCGAAGTACTCCGAACTCTATTGACACCGAAACCAGCTTCATCTGGTTTGAACTGCTTCGGAAGTAAAAATGTTTGTATTGATGAATAGCAGTTTCGCGAGGTTTATTTATTGGGTTTAATCGGGGGTGAGATTTACGGACTTTGAGCAGCAAGAATCCGTATTGACATTATAAATGGGACATTCTGTTAAGATGTTTGCGCTTAATCTTGCTGACGGCAAAGAAAATTGTATTTAAATCATAGTTTATTATTTACTGTATTTATTTTAACAATTGGGCAGCAATTCGTGATGTGTTATAAGCAATTTCGTTTCGTGATTTGGTGTCTGTATCTGCAGTCAATTCTCAGATGATTTTTAAGAAATAACAACTTCAAAATATTCAATATACTATTAGCTTGGCTGGCGAATTAACAAACCCCAACATTTCAAAAATAATTTTATCATTACTTAAATGTTAACACAAAAAAATTAATGTATTTTTTCTTCTTTTCAGGTTCTATAAAGTCTACAAATGAGCTCCTGCTACTTAGAATGTAAGTAAAGAGGCTTTTAATATTTTATAACGTACTAAAGTTAATGGCCACTTTTAATGGAACCAAACTTCAAATAAAAATAGTTAAATGTTCATCAAGTAATAAACAAAATATAATATGTACATAGTCTTCCGTAACGTAATGTAACTTTTTCCGAGTTATATTACGTACTTATTGTTATTCAATAAAGAAAAAACTATCGACGATTATCTAGACACTATTGACAAATGGTGAAGGAAAACATCGTGAGGAAATTTCTAATTATAAGTTTGAAATCGCCAATTCGCATTGAGCAGGCGTGGTGAATAATGATCAAACCTTCTCTCTGCAAGCAGAGAGCCTTTGGTCAGCAGTGGCCATTTATAGGCTGTTGATGCTTGGTGATGCTAAATAGTCTTCCTACACTAGTGACTATAAGAGTTAATTTCAAGTTATGACAAATCTATTTGAAATTAAGTTGTAGTTAATCCGAAGCCAAGTAGTAGACACCATATTAAGAGTTCCTAATACAATGGTTATATTGAAATACAATATATTTCAATTTAAACAACAATATGATATAAATTAAAATAAAATGCAAATGTAAAACATTTTTTATTTTCACCGTGATATAAATGGAAAGAAAAATATAATTAAAGCGGCCACGATAATTTATTTTACCATCAAAGGGAGAAGAGATGAGAATGTCATGTTGTCTCATACATAATGTAAAGGAGAATATATAAATAGTTTAGTCATACCGTTGGAACTATAATTATGAACAAAAGAAAATATAATTTTATTGTCAACTGCATTTTCTTTTTTAATGATGTTCTTAACAACGATAGTGGAATTAATGGAAGTACGTTCATATTCATATCTCTGAAGTTGATTTTATATTTTTCAATAAGTATCTACCTACCTATAGATTGTTGTGGTAATACTAATTAGATTATTTGTTATTGTGATATGTGTTGGCATTGGTGAAATAAAAGTTAATATTAAAATAACGGTAACAGTTACGTTTCAAATAACTAATATGAAATTTCCGTTTTTCAGTACTGACCGTTCCAAATTAAAATAATTTTGAATTCTAATTTCAAATTAATTTTATTTCAAAAACAGTACTCATTTTTTATTGATTAGTATTACATTTTCACCGCATTTCAATGGTTTTCGTCATCATGGGTACGTTAAAATTTTGAGTAATTATAGAATATGAGTACCGTCGTGGAAGCATCGCGAAGCGGCACGCACACAGCACGCTTATGGAGCAAAATGATTTTGTATTACCACGTTTAATTTTCTCAACAAAACAATATCTACTAAATTACGAAATTTGAAAATAGAACCTGATTACGTATTCAAAGTCAGCCAATAACAATTAATATACAAATCTCTTTATAACCCACGAACTTAATCACTCTGCAATTTTTAATCTCCATTTTTATAAGGGTCTGCAATAAATTCGAGGGTAACATAGGTTTACCCTGTGCTCAGAATCCATTGTGTAGCAGATCGTAATTAAGCCAGTAACATTTGGTGCTCGTTTCTTATATTAATTTTAATTAAAACTCCTAAAACGGTTTTGTCTTCGGGTAAAGAATGGAATTAGGACTTAACGAGGGTAACTTGAAAACTAGGTAGGATTAGGTACACTGTTTTTAAAGTCAATTTGTTGCGTATTTGCAAGGATTGTGGAGGAAAACTGCGGAAATGTGATACCAACCACAGAAATGTAATTTTAATATACCTGATCTCATCAAAAAAAAGACAAAATCATTTATTTCAATTAGACCAAGAAAGCACTTTTGAACGTCAACAACAAAATTTAGAAGTGAAGCTAGTTGTTCATTTCAAGTTGTAGATTCCAATGGAGAAGAACGAGCAAGAAACTCTATAGGTAATTTTTTTTCAATCGGGCTTACAATACAATTCTCAAGTTACATAGTTTTTTTTGTTGGTTCAATTGTGTGAGAACAATACAACACTTAAATCCAGTAAAAGAGATTAAAAAAGAAATAACCTTCAGGGACAATAAAATCATACAGTCTGAAGCTGACCAGTCCCAGTTGACGGCATCCGTTCACGCATATGACAAGTACCCCAGCACCTCCCAACTCAACCATTTTGTAGGGAATCGAGCAAAGTTGTCAACTAAGACTGTCTAAACGCTGTAATGTGACCAATATTATAAATGTGAAAGTTTGTGTGTTTGTGTGTGTGAGTGTGTGTATGTGTTTGTTACTCAATCATGTCAAAACAGCTGAAGGGATCGGGTTGAAATTTGAACAAGGATAGATAATTGTTATTTTTATCCTACGGAAACTCGGGCGAAGGCGTGAGCAGAAGCTAGTTAGTACTTTTAACTGCATGTTAATTCAAACATAGGCGACTAATTTTACCGTAAACTTTGAAGGTAATACAATAAAAAGAACGAAATACCCAGTTACCCATTTATAAAAAAAAATATATTGTTATTTGCTTTTGTTGTCTATCGCCACTATTTTTAATGTTATTTTATGTTTTACTGTTTTTTAATTTTGTATTTCAATTTTATTTTATGTTTATATATTAGGTGGGTCGTGCCTAATGACGAATTATTTTTTTTTCCTTTCTTTCTTTCTTTCAAAATTAAATCAAACATTTGACGCAATCACCAGCAATTCTAACAAAATTAACAAAGGGTCGGGCCATCAATTCAAATATACATTTATATAATAATATACATATCTTTCTACAAGATTACACCACCAGTGTTATAATAGCCAGGATTTAAACCACAATCCAAAGTCCCAACGCAGTGAAAATCACCTCTAATACCTGAGTAATTGAATCACAATTCTCGTTTCACCAGAAGGTCGGTAGATAGGTAATGAAATCAAATAACTTTAGTTGGATCCCATCCCTAGGGGAATCTTTATCTTTACGTAGAGGACTGCTTTCCATAATTTTCTACAATTCACTATCTTTTGTGAAGATTTACGATCGTCGATTTTTTTTGTGTGCCTTATCTTTTACGAGGAAAAAAGATAGGTTGGCCCGTGGATCGGTGCTCATGTTAAAAATATACACACTAAACATATAACATCTCGTCTTTTATCCTCGAAGAGGTAGGCAGAGATGCGTATTATGCCACTGTACGGTGTAACACCCACTTTTCACTATTTATGTTATGAGTCCCATGTAATAGGGGGTGAGCCTATTGCCATATACCGGGCACAATCCCAAACTCCGTGCTACTACTGAGAATTTTTTTAAAACCCTGTAGCACTTCGCCCGACCTGAGAATCGATCCCCAGGTCCTTTGCGCAGCAGTCGCACTTGCGACTACTCGGTCATCGAGGCAGTTAAAAATATATATCGTGCGTAATACAATACAGGGTGTAGCAGTTTATTTAGGACACGTTGATCTGAACGCGAGGGAAATATAGTGTGACAGCTTTATTTCATGCTATATAAATTGTGTTTAGATAAAGATGATATTATATTTGCGGTCTATCTTATAACAATAGTATTGTTCTCGCTTTATTCAATTCTATTTTTGTTGTTTCTTTTAGTTTTGGAATAAACTGCCTCGTTTGCCGAGTGATCGTAACTCCAACCACTGAGCAAGATCTCTATTTCGATTCTCGAGTGGGCAAACCATGGGACTTATTTTGATATTTTGAAATTGTCAGTAATAGCACGAAGTCGTAACATAATATATAAAAAATATGTTTTACATTGTAAATATGCACCTCTCCTTTCCCCTTTGGTTAATTAAAAAGGCCCGAAATTATAAATAAAGTGCTCAAAAGAGATTTAAATGGATTCTGTCCAAAAGAAGTACATTGTGCGTCATCATGGCCCGAATTCAATTTATGTGCCGCACTTAAATGTACTGGGTTCTTTTAAATTGATTTATTGCCTTGTATCGGATTTTCGTTGATTAAATGCCACGGAACAATTGGTTCATAATGTATTGGTGAAGTGCATTGCAACTCATTAGTGTGTACAGTTTTTAATGAAGAGCGCGGCAGATGGTAGCACTTTTACGATGGAATATTTATGATTAAACTATCGAATCTCTACGCTTATACGACCTCTTCAATTTTACACTAGATATCTTAACAAGAGATTATAAGTATTACATTATGTACCTACTGCAGCTTAAAATTGGATCGGATAATTCCACATACGTTTCCTTGTCTGATCCAAGATACCTTCACGAATATTAGTCGTTGAACAAATTTACTTTATCGCCTATCTTCTTGATAAAGTGTCAATACTCACTATAATTTTAACAATACATCACACCAAATCTTCATTTCAGGTATCGAATGTGCAAACAAAACAATTCGAAGTATACAGTATATAAATAACTAGCGACCCGCCCCGGCTTCGCACGGGTGCAATATGCATGTATTATACATATAAACCTTCCTTAAGAATCTCTCTATCTATTAAAAAAAACCGCATCAAAATCCGTTGCGTAGTTTTAAAGATCTAAGCATACATACGGACATACAGCGAAAGCGACATTGTTTTATACTATGTATTGATATAATAAAGTATGCAAACAATAGAATATATAGAGCACATAAATAAATCACAGTTTATACTGGTCGTAACAGTCAGGCGTCGTCAATTGTTTTGCAGCGTCAAATTGTAAGCATTAACATAGAAAACAGGAAAGTTTTGTAACACTGTTCCTAGTACTCACAGTGCTTCTTTTCAAGTATCCAGTGTTGAATCTATTTGAATTTGTTGAAGTTGCATTCCTGAAAAATATTATTTGCATTTTTATTCGTTTTTGATTTCGAATTTGTTGTCTTGTGTTATAGGTAATTACTTGATACATTACTAGTATCTTGTAAATAGACTGAAATGAATATAATCAATATTTTTATTTAATGTAGATATTCTGAAATAACTTCCTGGCGTGACGATAACCCATCATTTTATAATACACCTGTTAAAAATGACAAATTCATTGATGGATTATTGATGAGCTTCAATCGATGAATGAACTGAAATGT